AGGACAGAGAAACAAGAACTGAAAAAGAGAAACACAAGATCTACAACTGACTTCCAGACACACTGAGTGTGAAAACAGTTTACAAACCAGTTTAACATTATTTATTTCATACATGTACAAAAGTTCTTGTTGAGAATTAACAGAGATTTAATTAATAATAAAGTTTTTTTGTCACCATAATGGAGATCAGTATTTGATTTAGTAGGTCTCTTATCCCTGCACTTGTTACATTCATCTCTCTCTAACTGCTGTAAAAGTGAGTTGTAAAACACATTTGTTGTAGCTAGATAAAGTCAAGACATAATTGTTCTGGTGTTATTGGCTTATGCGATAATATCACAATTGTTCTGGATATGTCTGATTCTCAGATATTTCCTGTTTATACTCTGTGAATATATATCGGTATTTAATATGAAACTTACATTAAATTCTGATTTTAAAATAAATTTGTGAATGTACAACATGAAGTCAATATGTTGGTTAATCATGTCTTCTGAATAATATTGTAATCATATAAAACATTAAAATAATATCCTGCTTAATGTGGCAGTACGAGTTAGTCTAATGAGCTGGTGTTCCCTTGGTCACTCCCCGTGTGAAGCTCCCTCCTATAAATAGCGCGTAATCCTTCTGACGCCCTCTCCTGCTCATCGGTGACCGGAAGTTGCGTTGTGCGTCCAGGTCCCTCTCTCCGTGTGTGCGTTGTTGCGCTAACAGGTAGGGTAGTGGCTTTGCTGTCTCCGTGCGAACATTGTTTCCTGCCGTCTTGCTTACTAGTATTATGTGGTTACTGGCGTTCGTAGATCTCCGGCCGGATGGACGAACTCTCATCTCGTCGTTCAATTCATTGAACCACTGAACACACTGCATTATCAGTGCCGTGGGCACTCGTCGAGCTTTCTCCCTCGGGTACGTCTGAACGATGGGTATGTATCTCAGATGACGTGGGATTTATATCTAGTTTCTTATTAATTGGGGGTTAATGGTAGTTTTTCTTTGTGTAGCTAACAGGAATGAGGCCAGTTTAGCCGGAGATCATCACTAGCTGCACAGGACCGATTCGCTGGCTGCTGTTTTGCTTTTGCCTATTTGCCTGATAACTATATTGTGCCTTTTTTTTTGCCTTAAGGTGCTGTACATTGCCGTGTTTTATGTATGTCTCCGTTTGCCACATGTGCCACTTTGCCCAGGCCACCGCCTCATTGGTGTAAATAGCATATCAGCGACTGATCGCTGTATGCTCGTCGATCACGGCCACCGGGTAGTTACGGCCGTCTGGCCAAGAGTATGTGGCATTTGGTTCGTGAGTGCTATTGTTTTTATGATACGTGACTAGCTCAAGGGGTTTGGGGCTTTATATTATAATTTTGTCAATGTAAGAATTTTGTTTTTCTGGGTTTGCTTTCTTTTGGTTTGTTTGTTTTGATTCCAATTTAGATTAAAGTTGCATTTATACTTCAATTTGATTTATATATTTTTTGATTTACTGGGTTTGTGTGTATATATATATATATATTTATATATATATCTTTCGTTATACTGCTGTATTATAACCATTGTTGGTTTTGGCAGTCATTTTGTTTAAGTTTATTATTTTGATTTACTGAGTTGGGAAATATTTATTTGTTTGTTTCTTGTGATATTTCTACTGCCTTTGTAGAGCCATTGTAGGTTTCGGCAGTTATTGTTTATATTTTGTGAAGGTTATTTTGATTTTGATTTTCTTTGATTATTGAATTGAGAACATTTATTTATTTGTTTATTTTCTTTTGATATTTTTACTGCCCCTTTAGAGCCTTAGTTGGTTCTGGCAGTTATTGTTTATTTTGTGATAAGAAAAATATTGATTTTCTGATTTCTGTATTTTCTTTTTGGTAAATCTTTGTTGAAAGAGTGTGTGTTTTATTTGCGTACTTCTTTGGTTTTCTTTTTTTTTCTTTCTGTTGCAGTAGCTGAGAGCCGGTGGAGGTATTGGTGTCTGGGTGGTGTTGTCCCCGTTTGGAGTGCTGTGGACTTCCCTGTTTGCATTTGCTATTATTGGGGGTGTTTGTGTGTTTACTGGGGGGGTGTTCTGGGATCTTTTACCACCTTTTGAATACTTTGCCTCCATCGGTAAGCCTCAGCAATTTTGTTTTTTTGTTTTTTTTGTTTTTGTTTGTTTTGTGTTCTCTTCCCCGAGAGACAATTGTTTTAAACTGTTAAATTATTGAAATTAATAAATGTTGTGCTTTCAAAATTGAACACTGTCTTTGGCTCTATTGTACACGAATCTGTGTGTCTTTAGCTGTTGGATTTATAGAGCTTGGGTAGAAAAATCATTCTCTGGGTGAAATTCCCAGAGTGGCGTAGTCGGTGTTTAGTCTGTCCTGGTATAGAACGCCACATTAAGTCAGACACACACAGACATCAACAATTATTATATTCATCTCAACAACGGTAACATTCAAGAGTTTCATGCAGCAGTGCATGCTGGGTTCCAGGATTTTATAAAACTCTCAGCATGCACTGCTGCATGAATAAAAAAATATTGCCACCATTATTGAGATTAATGTGCTAAATTTTGATATCTTGGTTTTTCTACAAGACTGTAGCTCGGTTTTGGTTTATGTATGATATGTGAAAAAAATTAGTCATAATTTATTGCTGTGGTTTCACATTGGTGGTAATGTAACACTTTTGGTTGAGGATTAAACTCTGAATGAGTAAGAATGAATTCTTTAGTAAATGAACAGACATTGTGATGATTGTCATATTTTCACAAATCAAATCATTACTAAACTGTGTGTCTGCACAAGTGAGACTTGCTAAAACACAGCTCACAGCGTCAAAAGAAAGTCTCATGTTACAGCATCAGCAGACCAACTAAGGCAAACACTGATCTCTATAATGGTAACTTCAAACCAAACATTTTTAATTAAACATCTCAACAACATCTATAGATGTATGACAAAAATAAAGCCATACTGGTTAATAATAAGTCTAATAATGTGTAATGGCTGAAGTCAGTTGTAGTTCTTGTGTTTATCTATTTTCTGTTCTTGATGTTCCTCTTTCCTTCAGTGATTCTGCTTGTTAACAGCAGGTGTTCATGCTCAACAACAATCACTTACATATTCCCTTAACCTCCTAAGACCTGGTTGTCCACATACGTGGACATCACATTATTGGTTGTGTGTCCAGGGGTCAGAAAGTAAAAGTCCTGCCATAAGTTTATTCCACCCACAGCAAAAACTCCAGTGTTAAATGAACTTTACTGGGAGTTTCTTTGGATCCAGACTCAAGAGTGTTAAAGTTAATGAGATTTTTAAGTGAATAATTGAGTGATGATTGAGATATTGTTGAAGACACCTGATGATAACAAGCAGAATCACTGAAGGAGAACGTCACATTTTTAAAGTCACCATTATGGAGATCAGTGTTTGCTTTAGTTGGGCAGGTGACCTTTAATAAAGGTTTATGGTTTTAAAATCCAGTGTCACGGTGTGGGTTTTGTGTCTTGTTCCTCGTTCTTGTCTGTCATGTGATTCCCTGTTTGTCATGTGGTCCTGTCATGCGTCTTGTCATTTGTTAATTGTCAGGTCATTGTTCACAGGTGTTCCTTGTCTTGTAATTAGTCAGTGTATTTAAGCCCTCTTGTTTGCCCTGTGTCTTTGTCTAGTATATTTATTGTCTAGGTTACCTGTTGTTGTTCCTGTTTCAGTTTCTGCTTCATGCCTTTGTTTTGGTTTATGTAATTAAAGTTTGCATTTGGGTCTTACCAGCTTGCCTAGCCATTCGTTACAACCAGACCCATGAAACAGCTAAGACTAAACTCACTTTCAATTTGTACAGAGGGAGCAGGTTTTCCAAATGTCTTCAAAGAAAATTTTTAAACATAAACATTCTTTCCTTCCCAGGCTTCACTCACACCTGTAAAAAGAAAAACATAGAGAAGCATGGTCTTCCTCTGTACATTTTATGATATTGAATATGAAAGGCAAGAGAAAACAAATGTTGGTCTTACATAATTTAGTTTTTCACTTACGGTGAAACAGTGACATGACAACAAAAAAACAATTCAACAAAAAATTAAGATTGATCTTGTTTCACTACATACATTGGTCAATGTCAATTGTGGAGTCTGACAATGCTAGGGCTGGTGTGGAGGCTGTAGCAACAGGAGAGGGACTTGCCAGGGAGGAGCAGTCTAGGGAGTTTGCTAGGGAGAACTGTAGATGTGTTGGAAGGCTTTTGTTTACAAAGATTACAAACTGCTTTTTTAATCTTTGGGGAACTCTGGGTAGTTCACCAATATGGTGCTTTAAGTGATCAACGTTAATTTTGGGGAAAGTCACACCCATCGCATTTTCAAGATCGGCACTCTTGCCTTCCAAGCAAATGATTGTAAATGGCCCAAGGTAGGCAAGGCATGTTTATTTATATAGCACATTTCATACACAGTGGCAATTCAAAGTGCTTTACATGGAAGAAATTAAAATAATCAAAAGAAGTCAGAATAATTAAAACAGTTTAGAATAAAAAAATCAATAATAAAAATAAAATACAGTGTCGAAAATAAAATGTATAGTACAGTCGGACGAACAGTGGCACAGTGCTCATTTAGTAAATGCAATCAATATAAATAAAAACAGTTAAGAGTAAAAATAAAATAAAATAAAGTATTACCCCTATCTGAGATGGAAGAGATTGAGCTGGTTTACGGTGCTACTGGGCCTCCAGCCCAGGGACTTCTTATATTCTCAGCAGTAACTTACTTCTTCACTCGCCTCATCGGAGTGAAGACTCTCCCGCTCTCCATCAAAATCTTTTCCAGTATACCCCTATCTGAGGTGGAAGAGATTGAGCTGGTTTACGGTTCAACTGGACCTCTAGCCCAGGGACGTAGAGTGTCGTACGTACTCTGCTGGGGTGGTGCTACACCAGTAATGCCCAGCGGGGCCCCCACAGAGCACTTTTCTCCCCTTAACGACGCTCTTAGCGACTTCTTATACTCTCAGCAGTATAAGTAACTTACTTCTTCACTCGCCTCATCGGAGTGAAGACTCCCGCTCTCCATCAAAATCTCTTCCAGTATACCCCTATATGAGATGGAAGAGATTGAGCTGGTTTACGGTGCAACTGGGCCTCCAGCCCAGGGACGTACTCTGCTGGAGTGGTGCTACACCAGTAATGCCCAGCGGGGCCCCCACAGAGCACGTTTCTGCTGCCATTACCCTTAATGACGCTCTCAGCGACTTCTTATACTCTCAGCAGTATAATAAGTAATTTACTTCTTCACTCGCCTCATTGGAGTGAAGACTCTCCCGCTCTCCATCAAAATCTCTTCCAGTCAGAGCAGTATTAAAGCAGTTAAAGCAGTACAGTAAAAAAAGGTAGTTGGATTCAAGTTTGTCCCCTTTACGTTGTTCGGCTCTGATGTTTCTCCTCCACACATTGTCCCCAACTTTGAAAGTTGTAAAGGGTTGCTTCAGTCTTTTTTTACAGTTCCATGGCTTTTTCTAATGTTCCCCTTTACGTCCATTAATTTTACTTAAATTAAGAGTGGACTCTGTAACCTCCTCAATGGACACCGTGTCCTCCACAGTCTTGTCAGTCTGAAAAGAAAGTTCTCATCTTGGTTAGTATATTGAAACATGTAACTGATTGTTAACATCTGTTTCAAATGTAAAAAAAAAGATCTAGTTACCCTGTAGTGCTCTGCTATATGAGAGGGATAACATGCCTCTCTCCCAAACATTAAAAAAATGGCGAGTATTTGGTTGTCATTTTAACTTTTTTTCGTAAACCAAACATGATTGTGTCCAGGTGCCTGTCCCAGTCTTTTGGCTGGTATTTCACCAGTTTGCAGAGAGCTCTGTATATCAATAAGTATATTATTATATATAACAACCATTCAATTTTAAAACATTTAACACTTACACCATGCTCTTTGATTTCATACATTTCAAATGCGTTCTATTATAAATGCATAAATCTAAAACATTATAAATTCATTGACTTAGAATAAGTCTTATATATGCCATTCCATATTGGAACTAAGCTGACCTCCAATGTGCTTCCTGGAAATCAAACACATTACCTTAATACCATTCTTCATCCGCTAAACTACAGCAGTGTACACAGCTGACTTATGCAGCAGCCAAACAAGGGCAACAACCCCATTGGCAACTTTTAATTAAAATCCGAATACAATATTTAAAACCCACCCCTGGATCGTTCCATTCATTCTTTCCACGAGTCCATTGGTCTGGGGGTGGTACGGGGCGCAGAGGGACCTTTCAATGTTCAGCACCTTGCAGACATATGCATTGAGCTGCAATTATAAAATAAAGATGTTGAAAGGGATGAGGAATAAACTTAATGAGATCAGAGTATTTAGGTAAATGTTTGCATGTAAACTAACCTCATTGACAAACACTTTTCCTTGATTGGTGAGTACTCTTTGAGGGGCCTCAAACTGATACACAAATTTTAGTTAACATTCTTTTACTTCTTGCACTGTTTTTGTTTTCTGTGGGTATGCCTGGGGGCACTTTGTAAGGTAGTCGATTATAACGCAGATGTACTGGTTTCCATTACTCGTAACTGCGAGCTTGCCTATATTTAAATATTGTCTCAAATTTCAATATTAAATTTTCTGTTTAATCTGCATGTACATATATAGAGCTTATTTCTGTAGCTTCTTTATGCTGTATTGTTCATAATTAGTTATTTAGGGTTGTGGTAGAAGAAAAAAAAGCATACCGCAATATATACCCAGTCTCCTTTTTTATTGAGGATCTGCTGCTCTGAAATGGTCCACACTGCTTCACCTTGCCAAAGCATAGAACATTTAAATAGTAAATAAATAAATAAAATAGAATAGAATACAAATAACGCTCTACATATGAATCCACTTACACTGGACATCAGTAAATACATGATTAAACAGTCCACAGTTCACTGTGTACCTCAAGGTCCTCAGGAACAATACTGCTGTCATCAAAAGCTGATTCCCCACTGCTGGTCAACAAAGTCTGGATGTTGTTGAAGCGTTTCTCAGCATTTTCAGAGCTGCATGGGCTTGAGAAGATGACAGTGCAACTAAGGAGCATTTCATCAAACTCAACAATGGAACTTGCTGTGGTCAAAAGTCCAAAAATATGCATGGCCAGCTTGCAGTTCTTGGGTGCACTGAGAGAGAAATAAAAAAAAAACATTGTCCACTCATAATGAATAATTCGTTACCATCAATTTGATTATCTGTTTGATTATTCGATTATCAAATAATCAAACAGTCTATGGTTTAAACAGAGATGGACAATAGGAAGACTGAAGTCTACTTCCTAGTGGTGCCTTTCCCTGTCAATATTTGAAAATAACTTTGGAGCAAAGCATTGAGGTTAGTTTGGCAGAAGACGAGTGAGATTGCTTGCATGAGGACCATGGATCCATCACATATTATAATGAGTAGACTGATGTTTTTGTGTCCATATTGCTTGGCATGATCTGTCTGGGAAGCACTAAGAAAATACATTATAGATGAGGTGGTCACAGGACACATACTTTTTAGAAAAGCTACTGGAAAAGGAGAGGAACCCTTATTTGGATTTCGGACCACCAGCTCGTAAACGTAAAAAGGACTGTGCTGTGTTTACTTTTCTTCACAATGCTTCCTGTTGCATCAAGATATACTATGTCTTCTTTGCATATTTGGTGGAATATGTCAATGCTTTTCTTCGACCAAAGCATCAAACCCTTTAAGGTTTCTGCATAACCTCATCTGGCTCATCTCTTTTTTCTTCTACCATCATCTGAAGACTGAGTGTTTCATTTTTATGTTTCCTGCCCTTCATTCTTTGTCTCCATGCCGGAAATGGATTTCATAACACCTGGCGATGTTGCCTCATCTCGACACCCAGACTCTTCCACAGATTTTCTTAAGATAGAGTGCCCTTGGTAGTGTTGTTTGCAATTGCTGATTTATTTCCTTTTGGTCATCGGCGCATACCGGTCACCTTTGCAGCTCTGTTTTACTGTGAACTACCATGTCACTATTGAAAGACACCTGTGCTTTAAGCGTGTTCTCACTATGCACAACAACATCAACTTTTACTGGGCAATCAGTGAACAGGCAACAGCCAGAGCATTTAAAAGCAAGTGTGTTCCTGGTTGATCCTTGTATTTTAACCCTGTGGCCTGTAAAAGCAAAACTGAAATGTGGTTGGATTGTGCGAATGCCTGTAGAGATAATGTTAGTCCACAGCAGTCCCTTGAAGTGATCCTTTTTTTTGTTTGTTTTTTTCTTAGTTTTTTTTTTCCAGGCAGTTAGAGGAATAAATAAGAAGGTGGTGCAGGAACACTCTCTGTAAAGAATTCATCTTCTTTCATGACTTCATCGTCAGTATCACTCCAACTGTCACTGTCTTCCCAAACAAGAAAACTGACATTGAATCAACGTGGAAACGACGTCTCTCATGACATTGAAACAACGTTGATTTTGCTCATCGAATTAACGTTGAACCAACGTCAGACGCGGCATTCATCAAAGCTAAATGAAAATCGAAAATTGGTTTGCTTTCATAACGTTGAAACAACGCGTTGATTTCAAGTTGATTTTCCGTTAGTTTTGAAAGAATGACGCGTCTGACGTTGGTTCAACGTTAATTCGATGAGCAAAACTATGTCAGATCAACGTTGTTTCAATGTCATATTTCCACGTTGATTCAATGTCAGTTTGCTATCTGGGTTCCACCTTGGGATATTTGTTTTGGATCTACAAGAGAATAAACGTAGCAACAATTCAACTGCAATGTTAAGTTTATGCAACAATAACACTAACTAATATATTTCATAATACATTTTTACCTAACATTTTTCTTGTCTTCAAATCGCGTTCTTCTTCTTCTGAGGTAAATCCAATGTAAGCTCACTGTGTGTCTTCTAAACTCGACGAAAAGCAGAGGACTGATGAAATTTGTTGATTTGTTTTTTAGGTAATGAGCGCATTTGTGTTACTTCGTGGAGATTTGCATATCAATCTCTTTTGTGCTTGGGCGTGGTCAAATGAAATGAGCAAGCGTTTGAGAAACTTGACATCTTGTTGGTTTTATACAAATTACTTTAAGGGACAATGTGTAGGAATCTCTCCCATCTAACGGTGAAAATGTAATTTGCATTCAAACGAATTGTGCTCTCCAGTGCCTTGCTTTTAGGGGTGTCCATGGTTAACCGGTTAACCGATTAACCGTTTAAAATTGGATAACCGAGTGAAACCTTTTTGCTCGGTTAAGTGGCGTCAATTCATATTTGCACAAAACTTTTGCGTTTTTATTTTCTGATTGTCGATAAAAAAATATTGTGAAATGGCAGCGTTTCTATTAACGGTGTTATGCGACTAAAACATTTTTTTTCGCGATAAGCCATTCCAAAAATAATGGCAACGGACGTTGGTAGTCTATCACAGCCACTGCACTAAACATTATTATTTATAAAAGGAGACGTGGTGTGTCATCCAAGCATTAATGACAGGGACAGTCACAGAGTTTCTGTGTGTTTCTCCCTCATTTCTGCTCCGCGGTCTTGATTGTGGCATTTCTTTGAGGTTTTGTCTAGGCTATTCCTTGTATCCTTTATGAATTTTAAAAAAGAACTCTGCCTCGTATATGTCCAAACGGTCAGTGTAGCCTACTTTTGTGTTCATTCGTTTCCCCTTATTTAATCCGTAGGCCTAATTGCAAAACGAAAAATGAACGGTTGTTGTATTTTGTAAAACGCAGAGTTGAACACCAAAATGTTAATTTGAACTGTAGGACTACGTCAAATGCTGCGCAAAAATATATAGGCTATATATCGACGAATTTTCAGATATTTGTTTGATTTTTTTGCCCCTTTAAACATTTAAAATATTTGACAAATGAATATGGAAAAAAAAAAGATTTTACTGGTTTTCTGAGGCCAGATTAGAACCTGGAAATGATTTTCCCCGCAGTGCTGAATGAGAAGAGCCGTAACCACAGCCTACAGAAAGGGGATTTAGATGATTTATAAGATATAATAAATGTGTCTGATAATAAAATAATATAAAATAACGAGGCATTAATTGTTTATTAATAAACTATTGTTTTCTAAATCAGTTTCTGCTAAAAACAAATCTCCATCCCCGGATGCACCTTTAGAGAGAAATAGCCTACATAATTAGCTGACTACATAATTACAGTCAGAAGATATTGGCTTTCGATTCGAATTTTTTCGTTTTAAATTGGACATTTAAAGCTTTAGTCTACAAAAGCTTTAAATGTCCAATTTAAAACGAACAAATTCGAATGCTGTTGCTGTTTCAGTTCTCGCGCTTCAGTTCACGGAGATCATGAAGCGCGCCTTCTGTTAAAGCACAACGTTTTCTAGTTATTGTGAGTTTACGCAAATAAATGTATTTGCGAATAATGTATTATTATTTTCTGTATGACCAGAAATGAAAGAGTATTTTAAGTTGTTTCCACTGAAAGAACTGCAATGAAACTGCAAGTGTTCACATGGGCGTCTCGCAGCCTCCACAAAGCACACACACTGGATATGCGTCAAAATATTGTGTTTATTTGTGCTTTGTTCCTTTTTTGGATAAAAGCGTCTTCTACATATGCAGCCTAATAAAATGTTACAATAATGATGATTATTATTATTATTTGCGGATACGGAGTTTTTGCGAAATGGACGTGTTGCCATGTGCGTATTTTCAATGGGCAATTTCAGTTTGAAGGGTGATGGAAACGTGCCTACTTTAACTGCTCTGAACTTACCACTGCGTTTTATTTCTATAAATTAATTTAGTTTCAAATGGGGTCCAACCAGTCATTAAAGGTGTTAAAAATTAACTCTGTATCTCAAGGTTGCGGCGCGCACATGGTTAACCGAGTATTAACCGATAAGGGCCTCGGTTAACGGTTAATGAAAAACTTGAAAACGTGCAGCCCTACTTGCTTTGCATAGACAGTAGCCATTATGTACCAAAAAGCTATGACAGGATGTCTTCTAGTAGCTCTTTGTCGAGTTTTCCTTCAGGTGAACAGGTTTGTTATTTCAAACAAACAGCAACTTAACTCAACGAACAAACGAATGTTACAATATGAATTGCTCTTGCCTCGAGTACATTATTGCTTTTATAAAACGGTTACTGCTCAATAAAAAATATTAAAGTAATAAAATGTATTAATGCAACTGTAACGGTTACCAGTTGGAGTGCCCTTTTGAGCCACCAAAGGGCACTCCAGATAAGACTATTATCACTCACTAACTACATTTCCCAGAACTCACTGCCCGGACTCATCATC